GATAGGGTTTATGTTATTAGAAATCTTGGTGTATTTCTAGATGTCGAATTGAATTTTTCTGAATATATTGAAAGAATATTCAATAAAGCCACAATGCAATGCAATGCAATGATTGGGATTTGTAACGCGTAATTTGAGAGATTTTAATAGCATTTACACCTTGAGGAATGCTTATTTACCTATAGTTCGCCAAATTCTGGAGTATGCAGGTCCTGTTTGGTCCCCCATTTATAGTAAACATAAGTATCAACTGGAGAGGGTACAACGAAGATTCTTAAAACATGTTGCATACAAACTAAATATTAGTCATTAGTCTATTAATTATGATGATATCTTAAAACTTTTAAACGCAAACTCTAACCCAAAGGAGAGATCATCAGGACCTGTGTATTCTGTTCAAACTGGTGAATAACCTCAGCTCTTATCTTTGGTTGATTTTAATGTACCACATAACATAAGAAACAATACACCATTTTATGTACAATATCATCGTACTAATTATGGGTACAATTCTCCTATACTTAACTAGATTTTTAAGACTGGCAAATGCTGTGATAAATTTAATGTGGGTCTTTTCAATATTGGACTGGAAGGTTTCAGAAGACAAATCAAATCGATATAATGATTGTCTCTGTTAGTGGTTTTATTCTTATTTGTAAAGATCACCGTATGTTATCTTATGTCTATTTATTGTTAAGGTCATTTTAAACTTTTTATTATTCTTATCTCTTTTTTTTTTCTTTTTTAATATTAGTCACCTTCTCTACAGATTTTAGCATTTTGTGTTGTTTTTCTTCTTTTTTTTGAATACTTAAGGTTTTGTTTATTAGGTACCCTGTCTAGACAGCAACACAATATGATTTATTGGTTTACCACATACCTACCAAAATATATAGATTAAGAGTTATTGTACCTACCCACTGTAAAATGACTTGTCCGTAAATAAAATTCTATTCTAATCTATTCTAATAGACACCCGTTACTATCTATCAAGTCCAAGTCAACTCTAAACATCCAAAGAGGCCTCGAGGAGTAATTATAAATTAAACCCTTTAAGAAGTTTGATAGGTCTTAGATGAAGCAGCATATCAACGAGGGAAGGTGTTGAGGTTGAATATTGAAGTGAAGACCTGTTATTTTTAACTGGTTTAATAATTGTCGTGTTAAGTCATGTATAGTCTGTGGTCAAAATTACTGGAAGTGAGTCATTCCTCACATATAAGTAGTGCAGCTAAGGTTGTGAGTCTTCAGGAAAAATGATTCCAGTGGCGTGTATATTTAATTGATTAATTGGTACCCTCGTAGGTGCCCTAATAAATAAATTTACACGAGAATTTACATATCTTCTGTTCAATCTGTGGCCTAGTCATTATTGTGTGGGGCATTTTATGAGTCATTGTCAGTAATTTTGGTCACAGATTATAGATGCTTCATTTATTTATAAGTGTAATTTATATTATTTAAAGTAACAACATTGTAATTATTTGGGAATAAATTTGAATATATATGATAGATAGATAGATAGATTTATTAAGACAATAAGCACTGCTGCTGTACGTCATCAATTACATGTAAAAAAAAAAAATACAATTAAAAAGCAACATTAAAATGAAATAAATAAAATAAAAAAAGTATATAAACACAAGTTACAATATAAAAAATATACAAAACACTGTAACAAATTTAAACAAACTAGATAAAGTCCTTAGGTAACATTGTATTCGTCATGTATTCTTTGAAACTATAATTGGCCCTTCCTTCCAAGTAAATTCTGACTGACCGCTCGAACTTTTTCTGTTGTCTGATTTCTTTGACTTGCGGTGGTAGCTTATTATAGAACAGTTTTCCCATGTGTAGGAATGTATTTTTGGTCAGGGTAAGGCGGGATGAAGGAGTCTGGAGGTCATTCATTTGGCGAGTTCTATAGGGATGTATATCTGTGCGTCGTTCTGCGTCATTTCGGTGTTTATGCCAGTATCGAATGTTTTCAAAGATGCAAAGGTCGTAGAAAGTTAGTATTTTCAGCTCTTTGAACAATGGCCTGCAATGGATTCTCTGATTGTATATTCCTTTGAGCAAGCGAACTGCTCTTTTCTGTAATAAGAATATAATTTCTGTATTAACTGATGTAGAGAGACCCCAGTAGAGAATTCCATATCGCATGTGGCTTTCAAAAAGAGAGTAATATATTTGAGTTGCCACAGCCGGTCCAAGATTTTTCCAGGAAGTGTTTATTGCAAATAGCCCCGATGATACTTTCTTTGCCACAGCCGCTACATGTACAGGGTGGGCCAATTTGGACACTTCCTCATGGAAACACCCTTTATTTTTAGAGATAGAAAAAAATGAACCCCCCACTCTGAGGCTCAAATTTCATGAAATTTTGATTGGTGCAAACCGCTTTTTGATATCTTCAACAGTTTAGCCGCTAGAGGGCGATTCTCGATTTTGAGCAATATTGTGAACCCGAGTGTGAACCCTTCATAACTTTTTTGTTTATGAAAATAATTGATTTCCGTGAAAACTTTCTGAAAGCACTTTTTAAAACAAAATTCAGGGACGTTCTCGTTTTTTTTTCTATTTGGCGCCAATTTTGAGATATTGACCAAAGTCTGTTTTTTTTCAATGGGAGGCACCCTTTATATTAATAGCTCATTGCAAAGCTATGATTTTTCTGATTTTAATGATAAAAAGTTCGATAGAGGTATCTCGAACCGTTTTCGAGAAAAAAAATAATTTCGGTTTTTCTCATAAGAAGCAATGTGTTAGAAAAGGACTTTATATCTGTAAGGAAAATGAAAAAGGTCTCTTTCTAATACATTGCTTCTTATGACAAAAACCAAAATAATTTTTTTTCTCGAAAACGGTTACAGATAAACCTATCGAACTTTATATCATTAAAATCAGAAAAATCATAGCTCTACAATGAGCTATTAATATAAAGGGTGTCCCATTGAAAAAAATCAGACTTTAGTCAATATCTCAAAATCGGCGCCAAATAGAAAAAAACTGAGAACGTCCCTGAATTCTGTTTTAAAAAGTGCTTCCAGAAAGTTTTTACGGAAATCAATTATGTTCATAAACAAAAAAGTTATGAAGGGTTCACAATATTGCTCAAAATCGAGAATCGCCCTCTAGCGGCTAAACGGTTGAAGATATCAAAAAGCGAGCCTCAGAGTGGGGGGTTCATTTTTTTCTATCTCTTAAAATAAAGGGTGTTTCCATAAGGAAGTGTCCAAATTGGCCCACCCTGTACATCCCATTTGAGATTTTTTTGGATGGTTATTCCGAGAAATTTATATTCACTTACAATGGTCAAAGGGGTGTTTCGTATTCTTATCTGAATTTTCTTTTTTGTTGGATTGCTGAAATGAATGCACTTGGTTTTTTTATGTTAAGCGACAGTTTATTTGTATTAAACCAGCTCTCCAGCATTTCCACATATTCGTTTATCCTTCTCTGGACGTCTTCATCTCAGTCGCCAGTCCATGTGATCGTTGTGTCGTCGGCAAACAATGTCAGGTTTCCACTTATGGGAAGAGTCGCCAGTTCATTTGTGTAGAGTATAAACAAGAGGGGTCCCAACGTAGACCCCTGTACAACAGCATGCTTCAACTCTTTGATCTGTGATCTAATGGCGTGGCCGTTTTGATCTCTAGTTTCTACTAATTGCTTTCGTTCCTTCAGAAAAGACTCAATCCATGCACCTATTGTCCCACGAAATCCATAGGAAGCCAATTTTGACAATAACTTTTTTTGATCGACACAATCGAACGCTTTCTCCAGATCCAGACCCACCATAACAATATATTTCATATATGTGCTGCATGCAATTTCCGATGGCGTCTGCTGTGCTTTTATTTTTTTGAAAGCCAAACTGATGTTTTTGTAAGATATGGTATTTACCTATGAATGTTAGCATCCTGTTTTTAATCATTGTTTCCATTATTTTTGAAACGGTTGACAACACAGATATAGGTCTGAAGTTTGAGGATTCATTGTTGTCACCGTCTTTGTGTATTGGAATGATCCTTGATATTTTTATACTGCTTGGGAAAATACCATTTGTGAACGAATCATTTATAGCAGACACCATCAGGTCTTTGCACTGCGCAGGAAGCCTTTTTATGAATTCTAAGTCTAATTCATCAATTCCGGTGGATTTTTTCTTTGGTAGTGTGTTCATTACTTCCATAATTTCTTCCACTGTTGTCGGGAATATATAAAATGTAGGGAATTCTCGAGAACTAATTTGGTATTTCCTTGGTACTGCTGGAATGCTTTCTGTAATCTTGTCGGCAATGGTTGTGAAATATGTGTTTAGTTCTTCTGCGGCAGTTTGTGAATCCTGTATAATTTTATGGTTTAAAGTTACTTTTAGGGGCAGTTTTTTCTTGAGAATGTAATGTATTGTTAAACTTGACAGATATTACCCTGGATCTCGCCCTGGATATTACTCTATAGCGAGCTCTATAGTTATTATAATTTTTCCTTGAATTTTTCTTTATAATTTCTAATCTAATCTCATATGAACACTCTATTTAAATCGAGAATTAAATAGTGGTATATTTTTACATTAACAAGGATCATGTGCAAGGAGGGGCTGCAAAGGCCTTGGAATAATCATTGATTGTCTCTTGAACAAATACTACATAGGTTTTTAAAAAAATTAATTGTTAAAGAAAGCTCAGCCACTAACCAAGGGTTCAATGCAATGCTGATAGGGCTATTTTCCCCCAGATTTTCCCTTGAAAGAAGAAATGAGTACAGTTGTTTCTGCTGTCAACATACTTTACTAGGGTTTAAACTAGGGTTTTAATCTTATGAAAATTATTGTTTGCTACCAAGTTCAAGTTCAAAAGTCTCTACACAATAACTGGTAACTGGAGGATCAACTTGTACAAGAGGTTATTAGGTTCATTTATGATTAAGCTAAGTTCGGGGTTTTAATGCAGGAAAAAAAAACATACTCAAAAGTAAAACAACAACAAACGACTTACGGTTCATTTAGCAAAGGTGTAATCTTCAACACGTTATCCAGAAATTTGTTGTCGCCACACCATAAGGACGGTTTGAGAGGTTGCGAATTCACATTCAAAATTCTGAACAAAATACATAAAATAACAGCGATCACAGCCAATAAGGCCGTCGACATTTTTCGCGGAATTACTGGCCGACACTGTTTCTTATAAACTAAATTGGAGCGTCGACCGAGTGCGGGTGCTTATCCATTCAGTTTATTGTAGATTGAAAATGAGAAATTGTTATTTATAAATAATTCGGCAATTGAGTGAGGGGCGCGGTGATTGGCAGGTTGAGTTTGACGTACGGCGAAAATCGATGTTGCCAATGGAGATTTTTTTTCTACATTCAGCTTAATTAATCTTATTTGGAAATGTCACAGTAACGTATAATTTACTCAGAGACTCGAAGAATTGCTTGGTAAATATGAATTAGGAATGCTTTTAAAATGCCTGAATTAAAGTAGAAAATACAAATTTTTTCCCCAAAATTGCAGCTGGCAACAATGTAATATCAGGTGATGTTTTATTTTAAAAAAAAAATATGACTCATTCGCAGCCGCATTCTTTCGGACCGGATCAGTTGATCAAAACGCGTTATGTTCCAGTGATCACGTTCTTTCGCATTTTGGCAAATGACAGTTAACGAATCATGATCCGAGAAATTCTGAACATATTGAACATTTTTTGTTTGTGATTAGTTTGTTCCGATCGCGAAAATCTAACCTCAACTTTCAAATTATTTCTTGTTTACTTTTTGCGCTTTCTGCAATAATATATAATATAAATTTTGTAAGCTCGTCCATTATTATAGGCACAGAAAAACAAACGTAGCAAATCAAAAAACTGCAAAATATAATAATAACCAACTCAAAAAATAGAGAATAGAGGAAAAGCACCAGCTGGCAGTGACACATCAGTGACAGCGTTTTTTCGGACTAATAAATGAAACATGTTCCATCTGAACGAACGGATCAGGATTTCGGAATCATGATTCAAATATTTTGCGAAAGAATGCGGCTCGCATTTCCCTGTTTGACTCATTACATTCTTATCACCATCGCCGTGAGAGACAGAAGCAGACAAACCTAGATGACCTCATGACTGTATGCTCTCTCCTTTTAATAGGCGCGTTTTCGCTTCAAATCTTAGCAGACGATTACCCATCCGTGGGCCTTATTTATGAAAAATGGCAACGCCGCATTCCTGTGTTAAGGCTAGTACTCATAACTGCGAAATTCGTACTTTTTTGACATTGCTTTGACAATTTGACGTTTTATGCGTGTATCAAACGTCAAATTGTCGAAGCAATGTCAAAAAAATGCGAATTTCGCAGTTATGAGTACTAGGCTTTACGAAAATGATCATTGATCCGTACCGATCATGGTTGTTTATTTCTGGTTAACGGTTATAACAAATGGTAACCAAAGGTAAGTTCGGCGCAAGGATAATACACACTTTGCTTTTTGGTCTCGATTTTGGTATTCGCGGTCATATGGTGTAGCACCATTGCCGACGTGATTGGTGGTGGCTTCGTTTTTGGTAATCGCGGCCATATTGGTGAATCACCATTGGCGACGTCATTAACTAAGTCGTCAGCTGTTTGCGCCAGCGGTCGTAGCTTAAAATTTAAATTTATGATGAAAAATATTATTTAATTTTGATTAACATGATAATCAAAGAGGAAGATGCAAATAAGATCTAAAAAGGGTTGTTTTAGAATGTTAATTAATGTAGTAAAACCGAGTATGCATAAAACAAAAGCCCGTGGAATCATAATCTCAATCAAACACCCTACGTCAAGGCGACATGCTGCTACGTCATTACTGGTGCTTTGGTATGATGGGGGGCTTAAGATTTGAACTACACAGGCCTTATAGTGAGCATTCACACAAAAGTAGCATGCGACGTGCAATAACTTGCTGCTAAGAAGCAGGATGCATAAAAACTATCAAAATATATGACACATGTTGCCACGTCGCATTTTTGCGACGCCACCACTCCGCTGTGAAACCTGCCATATATTTCTAAAAGGTTCTAGAATAAATATTAGCATGCTTATTGCTTCCTAGCAGCAAGTTGCACGTCGCATACTATTTTAGTGTGAATGCTCACCTATAGCACAGCTTCATAGCCTATTTCATTGGTAGAGCAAATGCAACACTCGTTTTGCACTGACACTTTAAAAAAACTGCACCATAACTGCACGCGTGCAGTCCCAATGAAACATCATCGTACTGCACCTGGCACCACCCCATATACGTCAATCCTCAAATATGGAATTTTATTAAAAAATAGTATATTGTTGTATTAGGAGTAGAAGCTTTACTTTTTTGTGCTGAAGCAGCAGGTTTGCGAGCCGAACGTAGTGAGGCTTGCAATACTGCTGAAGCACAAAAAAGTGCTTCTACTCCGTATGCAACACGCTATTTTTTCTCCAAACTAATGGGGTAAGGTCGGGGGCAAGTGGATGGTTGAGCGGCAGTAAAAGTACGAGCGGCACTAAAAGTACTTTTGCTGCCGCTGGGGTTGCCAAGCAGCATAGAAATTAAACTTCTACCACCTCGACTAGGGTGACCATATTTTTTTTTCATGAATGCTGTACACTTTTAAAGTTTTGGGACAGGTGAGTGGAGATTGCGAAGAACAAACTAAAAAAATAAACGGTGCCACGCCCAATAAAGGTTTTTTTTTGGGCAAATTTTGTCGACTTTAGCTCTGTTCCAACCAACATGATAACCGTTCTAGAACGGTAATTTCCAGTCGATCAATTCATTTTTCGAATAGGATATTGAAATGTTCAATTTATTGAAAAATAGGTGGGCAACTGAAAATTACTGGTTCTGGAACGGTTCTCAGTTCTCATGTCGGTTGGAACAGAGCTTCTAGCTCTTTTTAGTTCCATTTTTTGACAAAAAGTTGGATGATAATAGAAAACACACAATGACCTGAAAAACATAACTCTCAACCAAAAATAAAAATTCTCATTCACTAAACATAAGCATGAGACAAATAAAGTAGGGAAATGCATTTGCAGAAAAAAAAAATGTAGAGATGTGGCGTTAGTTATCGATGGACCATTTTTCGTACAATTTTTAAGAAAAACTTAGATGATCCGAATTGCTGTACGTTTGCTGTACAAAATCAAATGCTGGACAGACTCTCAAAATGCTGTACAATACCAAGAATGATACACACTACTACTATAGGATGGCTTATCCTCATAAGGCCTGTGAGTAACAAATCCCCCCTACCCCCCTTCGCCAGACAACCAGTTGTGACGTAAAAAGCATGGCGTTTCTTGCCTTGACGTAGGCTGTTTAAACAACTGATGACTTAGTTATGACGTCGGCAATGGTTGAAAACAGTTGAAAACCAGCATGGCGCCGATTACCTAAAATGAGGCCGATAAGCACTCCTTTAGAGTGTGTATTCTCCTTGGTACAATACAGCGAAATGCTGTACGTATGGTCACCCTAACCTCGACAGGTGTTAGCCCGCTGGATTTGCCTGGCAGCATAGCTGCCAGATTCTATCTTACGAGTCGAGTCGTAATTCGTATCGAATTGTCAAAATAACGATTCTATTTTACGATATTTCGATACCTATTACACGGTACGTCCGGAGCTGTCGTATTCGATATCGAGACAATCCGACTCGACTCGTAAAATAGAATCCGGGGGTAGAAATCAAATTTCTGACATCTTGACAGGGGTTAACAAAGTGACGTTGTGGTGACGTTTTTTTGACGTTTGGAGAAAAATGATAGGTTCGTTCCAACCCAGCCAAAAACCGTTCAATGTACGGTCACGGTCATGCGCCACAGGTTAAACGCGTTCCAACCGAGAGATGATCGTTTACCGTACAGTTTCGTTGGCGTTCCAACCAAACCTGGGATCGTTCGAGAACTGGTTTTAGCACCGTCATTTCGATCCTGAGTGGAAAGCAAGAACCGCGTGGACTGATTCATGACTGACATGCGTAATTCAATTTTTGTCACCTGTTGTTGTTGTTCATGTTGTTGTTAAACAACCAATTTCCAATCTAACTTATAAAACTGTAGCATTTTTATTTTTTTCAAGTGAAAAAAGTACAAAATTTATTATCAGCTATTTGCTAATCCTTGATGTTATCAGCTTGCAAGGATTCAGTTTTAGATTCTTGATAATGAATCAGCGTTGGTGTTCGATTTTCCTTTTTTATATATTATTTTGTAATCCTAATCCTATATTCTTCTATTTTAATTTGCAAACAAACAAATTTAGGGTTAAAGTTATTTGAACTGTCGTCATTACGAAAACGATCATGAAACCGTTCCAACTACCCGTTGTTTCTGTACCAAGATAAAACCGTGCAAGGTCAACGCATGCGCCTGCAATCGATCCTAACAATTCCGAAACCGTTTCATGACGATACGAAAACGGGGGGTTGGAACGAACCTATTATTTTTGTGCTTATTATAAACAATTATTATAATTTAATTTAAAAAAAAGTTCTTCCCTTTCTGCTAGAAGCCCTAAATATTCTCCATATTCACTGGATTCACTGCTGCAGCTGCTTCCCATCCACGTATTTGCCATTAACAAGCGATTTTTGACATTTTTGGTAGTAGATTCGCAGACAAATATAAAAAAAAACAATAAGAAAATAAAATTTCGGACTGTTTTTGTATGAAAAACCATCAACCACCAATAATCTCAATTTCAAAATAACAATAAACAACTGCACTGAGTGCGACACGGGCTTTTATCCTAAAATAGTAGTGTGTATTATCCTGGGTTTGGTACCTCTACATTGCAAATCTCCATAAGGCACTCCAGTCGACGTCATTAAGTTACTCGTTACCAAACAACCTACTAACTTTAGGAAACTTGATCTTTTCCATCATACCTAATTTGATCGCTACAGTTGCACTACGTCCTGATGAACGCCACCATTAACTAAGCGTAAGTCCACAAACGTCACTAAAAGTGTCATTTTTAACGGATGCTGTCAGAGTCTAACATGCCATTTTATGACACTGGTGTGGTGTTAAAAGTAATCACTTTTAAGTGCGTTTGTAGAAAAAATTGTGTATGATATTCGTACTAAAAGTGATTTTATTTTGTTCAAAGGGATGGAACACTCCGCCTTCGGTGTCGTGTCCCAAAACTTTCCTTTTCACAAAATAAAATATCACTTTTAGCAGTTATATCATAAATAACTATTTATTTCATATGGATTAAAAGGCAAAAGGCAATGTTGCCAAAATGTAAAAAATAGATCACAGGCAAAAAAAAATCATGCGCAGCGCTGTAGGTACCTACACGTGATAGAAGTGAAACTTTTTAAA